TTTATTTATTTATTTATTTATTTATTTATTTATGTATTAAATTATTTATTTATTTAGGGAATGACTTATTTATTTATTTATTTATTTATTTGTTTAACAGGTTATTATGTTATCTATTCATGTTTAAATCACATATGGTCTGGCCTACCTCCTTTTCCTCACTTAGATTCCTGACAGACATCAGGTGGCCTTGGAAGTCATCACTTATATTGGCTGCGGGCTGTCGCTAGTGGGCGAGACTTTAACTGTTCTCACCTATCTGGTTTTGATGTAAGTAACCCCTCCGTAGCATAGTCATACCACCAATAAAGCAGTTCATTTCTCTGGCTCTTCCGTGTTAATTAATGTTCTTTGTCTTGAATTTCACAACAGGAACCTCAAGCAGGAGCAGTGTCAGATAAGACTCAATCTAGTCATAGCCATAGCCGTGGCACAAATCATTTTCCTCGCAGGAATTGATGCTACATCAAAGCAGGTAGCTTCATTTAGATAACCAATCACCATCTGATACGTATGTTCTGAAACTTACGAAGAGGTTCGGCAGGGATCAACCTTTCACGTTCGAAAAAGCTGAAGAACAAAAGTCAGTCGTTTCTTAGTTTAATAGCTCTACAAAGTTATTTGTGTACAAAAGTCAATTTTGATAGGAGTTGGATTGGGAGTTATAATTGTTTTTTAGTTTGTTAGTTAGTTAGGTTGTCTCTTTGGCTCTCGGCTTGTTTTGCTTTGATTCTTTTGTTTGTTTGTTTTGCTTTTGTTGTTGTTGTTGTTTTTAACTAATGTGAAAGACTTGAACTGATTCTCTAATACTATCGTTCTTTCACAGGGAGCCTGTATTTTTGTAGCAGTGTCTATCCATTATTTTTATCTGGTCGGGTTTGCCTGGATGCTGATGGAGGGAATCTACTTGTACCTCATGGTTGTCAAAGTTTTCAACACCCTAGTAAAAATGAAACTATTTTATACATTCTCTTGGGGTATACACAAGCCTTTGTTTGGTAAATTACGTAACTACCCTTCATGACTAAGCTTAGCATCAATGGAAAACAAGAAGTGATTCGTCAATCAATGTAGCTAAATAAACCTGAACAGCACTCCATCAAAACCATCTTCCGTATAAACGATACAGATTAGATAGCGGGGTAGTCGGTAGCAATAAGGATGTGAAAAGATTTTATACAGTTAGGGACTGCAACAGCAATAGTTGCATCATTCAATTAATATCTAGATTTAGCCAAGCTTAAAACCAGAGCTCCTGGGCCGAGTTGTGCAAACCCCGATAAGCTAACCCAGGATAAGCGAGAATTTTGATTTGAGTATTGTAATTTTGTAGGTTTTCTGTATATTGTTTGGCCTTCTGTTTTGAGTTTCAATAATCCCAGAATACACAAAGCAAAAGCAGTGAAAAACATTTGTATATAGGAAACATTTATACTTTGGTTAACTTTTAATCCTGGGTTAGTGTTAACCGGCTTCGTAACAACCTGGCCCTGATTACAGGAAGTTAACATGACATGAGCCCGTGATCCAATTGAAAACCAGTGCTTTGTCAGCAACGATAAACTTGAGCCCCCCGATATGGTCACGTGATGCTGGTCAGTGCATACCTAGTTTTGACAGGTGTCAATTTACCATAACAGGGATGCGCAATATCAAAGAAGTACGCTATAAACCAAGGCTGCATGTCTCTGTCAACCTATTACCTGGGATATGGCCGCTATCTTGCGCGACTCCACCGTCGTCGTAGTGCGCACGCGCCCACTAGCAATACTGATAACCATGATAGCCATAAGAAAATCATTTCCTGGCTTTTCTTTTCTTTTCTTTCCCATATGAGTATGTCAGTTTGATTTCTCTTGTAGGCTTCCCATTGCTTATGGTGGTGTGTTCGATTGTGATCGCATCCGGTGCAGAACACGGAGTTACAAGCTATGTACATAGTGACTAGTAAGTATCTGGCAATTTAAATAACGAGAAAAAGTTTTTTACTGGCTTTTATACTGGAGCCAGTTTCACGAGGCCGACAGTTAGGATGTTTCTAAGTGTTTGTTTCAAATACAGGTGTCTACTGTTAAGAAGCAATTGGTGACATTTCTCTTATCGTAGGACTCCATTTGCCTTTGAAAATCTGGCCCCTAGACTGGACCCAAGCCTATAAAGCGATGTTTTCATTTTGACAACTACATGTACACAGTGAAGATTGTTTTTGGGCGCATAACTAAACCGTAGATAATTTTTTTTTCCCATACAATTAGCTAAGGACAAACGTAAAAGAAAATTTCTTTTTTCCAATCGTAAAAACAGAAATCTGACTGTATTCTTTATTGATTGATTGATTGATTGATTGATTGATTGATTGATTGATTGATTAATTGATTGATTTTTTTGTGCGTGTGTTTTTATAACGTATAGGATGTATCTTGTTTTTGCAGCTGTTGGATTTCATTCTCAAATAATTTGGTTTGGACCTTTGCCGCCCCAGTCCTCGTGGTCGTCCTGGTAAAATTGTAGTTGTTACATTTTTTTCTGTGAACCTAGTTAGCATATAGTTGTTCACGCAAATGTCGGCCCTCAAAAATCATCACTTTCTTAATATCAAAAACCTCATCGACGATTCTTGTAAATCATGTATCAGCCATTTTAAATGCCATCATTTGCAACAACTGGTAGTGTCCCATTGGGAAAAAAAACATTTGGTTGTTGTTTAGAGGATTAGTAAAAGTTGATGAGCCATTTCGTCAAACTAACAGAATAAGCTAAACCTGCTCTTGTTAAAACATTGTGTGGTACTGTGATCAAGTTTTAATCCCTTGAATTTGTAATTGTATCGCATAGAATTCCTCGAAAGATTATAAAGCCCGTTTACCGTTTGTTAGTATCTGCATTAGTTCCGGAGATATTGAAGTTTGAAAAACCTATAAAATATGCAAATGAGAGGACTGTTAATGGACTGATGATGTCTTACACTCAAATGGATATTACTTGAAGTATATAAATAAGGCTCTCAGTCAATTTGCAGCAGATACCATTGAAACTTGGTAGGCTAATAGTACACACAAACAACACACCTACGGCTATTAGTAATTATGTTCCCATGGCAGTTCACTCTTTCTAGTCCCTGCCAACCTCAATTCAATATTTCAGTAATTTCTAGCTCGAAAAACATATTTATATGTTTGCTGGATCATAGACATGGGGCACCCTTGGCAAATATCAAACTGCAGCACTAAAGGTCTGGAACTCAGTATGTTGCCATGGTAACCAAATTGTTAAGCTCATATGGTGAAGCTCATCAAATAAAATCTTACTGCAGATAATCAAACATTTCTTCATCATACTTCAAAAAATTTAGTTCAGCTTTGAACTGACCGATCCTTATTCGCAAGTTAACTTCAGAAAATTTAAATGATGTTTTAGTGGTGGAAACCCACAGAACGATAACTCGCCGAAATCGCGTTAGATCGGCCCGAGGGGCTGGCAAACAACAAAGAATACAACACAGCAACAGGGTAAGTAGATTTTATTCACAAAATATGTCTATCAACTTTATTGGTCACAAAATTACAATATAATTAAAAGAAGAAAAGGACCAATAGGAATTGCGTGAACGGGAAAATAAAGTTACCCATGCGAGGCGCAACCCTAGAAGCTAGTAAGAATGGTAATAGAAAATCTTAAATTTGATAAAAATTGCAATAAAATCTAATAATTACTTATAGTTAAAAATTATAGATAAATCTAATTAATTACACTAGTTTAAAACAAGATGCGGATAATATTAGTCACAGAAAATTAAGAGCGGTGGCAAGGGCAGTTACGGAAGAGGAACCAGGAGCAGGGCATGTCAATAT